TTGCAGTCCTCTGATTATCTTTGTGGCCTCCTCTGGGCCTATTCCAACAGCTCTACAAGGAAGATTCGCAAACACAAGGATCTCTCCAGCAGACAGATATTTATGGGAAATGACAGAGCTGACAACACAAACTGGGGCTACTCTTCCTGACACAACTTTCTATTTTCTTTCAGTCACGTTTGAGCTCTGTGCAGCCTGAGGCCTCAGCTGTGTCTTCACCATCTGTTGTGGCTCAGGCATTTTGTGATAACTAATGCTGCTGCAGGTATTAGGTAGAGACCTAATTCCAGGCAGAGCAGCAGAGCACAAAGAGGCAGAGCCAAACTGAGAGATGGCACTCCTACATACATACAGGATCTGACATTTTATTTTTATGTAACTGTCTGGTGACTCTATTTGAAGTGTTAGTTGTTTATGCTGTCCTTCAGCAAGCAAGAAGAGGAGAGGTTTTTGGTTTTTTGAAATCTACAAATAAAAAGTATGATTTTACAGAAGCCTGCAGAAGTGAAGATTTCATTCCACTTGCTGTTTTAAAAATGGATTCTGTCCCAAACCCTTTAGCAAGGATTGATTTACCCTTTTCCTTAAGGGGAAGAGAGGCTAAGTTCATAGCCATACAACCCTCTGGTAACAGATGTAGGAGGAAAGGACTGATTTTCTCCCTGGTTACTGTCAGCAATTTGCTAGAAAGGAGAAAGAGAACACTGTCTCCTACCAGGTGGAGGTGATCCTGACCACACACCTCCATTCCTAAAAGCTTGCTGTGGTTACACACTGTCAGCCACTCCAGGCAGCTTGGACTGCATGCGAAAGGAAGCACAACAACAGAGGGGTTGCTCTGCCTGAGTTTGCTGATAGTAAATGTGACTCATTTTAGCATGCACCTAAGATCAGGGAGGGTATTATTAAGCTAACATAAAGGTACTGAATGCAGTTTATAGCAATTTATAGGGTTAGGGAACTGTCAAGTACTTGAAACTCACCTCAGATAACTTCACTCCAGCCCCACAGTCTAATCTCACTCTTTATATTTAAAAAGAGAGAAATGAAAACTAACTCAGATACCCCAGCATAATCCCAAAGCAACTTAGGTGCAGTTATGAATGCAAATAACTCCCACCTCGATTCCACATGCACGAAGGAAGCTCTTATCACCTCCACCTTCCTAGTGAAGACACTGCCCCACACGTTCTCCAGCTTTCATAACATAACCTTCTGGTGGTGGGAAGATGTACGTCTCGAGTGGATTAGAGTCTGGTCTTTATTGGTCCTATTCATTTTGCTAGGTTTCTCAGATCAGCTTGGACCACTTGCAGGATTAATTTTCCTCTATTTGCAAAGTACACGGTAGACATAGTTTTTGCTTACCACATGAATTTACAGTTCTGTTTTCTGGCATTTCTAGTTGGTAGCATCTGGCTAGAGCACACCAGGAAGTGTTTCTTTATTTTGGCATTGCCTGAATACTTCATAAGGCTGTGACCTCCAGGCAAAACTAGTTGCCAGTTTTAAATGGATGAACAATCAGCACCAGTGCCCATGGCTGTACTTCAAAGGACAGTTTCCCTTAGGTCTCCCCACTGGCAGGTCACTGTCTGCATGCTGTTAGCACTGTCATGCTGTTCATGATGATCAATGGGGGCAGTTGTTTGTTTTAACAGATACATTTATTAATCTGGTATCTGGAAATGGCTTCATATGACTCCATAACAGATCTGCAGACAAAACGTGCATGCTGATTACTGGAGAGATGTGAGCTCCTGCTTGTGCTCATTGTATACTCTTGTATCTGCTATTAATAGTACTGTGATGACTGGTCTGAATAAATTTTTATCTTGTTCATACTTAGCCAACTGTGAAAGGAAGCTCCAGAGATTTAGAGCCTGCCAGAGACAGTGCCAGCTACAAGTCCTTGCCCGTTCCTCCTATTGCCCTGTGCAGAAGGCCTCATTGCTGTGTGCCTCACACTTCTCTGCAGTGGGAGGACTGATCCTCCCCACTTCCTGCATTTGAGCTCCATCCAGCAGGATAACAGAGATAAGTAATATTTATACTGTATTTTGCTATAAAGCCATATGTGAGCGCAGCTCTAAGTGTTCTAATTGGTGAACTCTCAGGGTGAATCCAATTTGTCCTGTGCTACTGATGCCCAAAGGACACTTCAGTTAGTCCCGTGCCAATTATATCAACGTGGCTATAGCAATTTCTTTTCCCAGTAGAGAAGCCTGGAAAACTACCCTGAGGCAAATTGACGACCAAGACTCCAAGGCAGAGGCTCTGTGTGCTGTGGTAAAGTCTGGGTGTTTGGTCTGAACATGGCAACATGCTATGATTGTGGCCTATTTTGATATAATTACCTTCCTCCATCATTCTTTCAAAGATTATGTGTTTCTTCAGTCAGATAGATCACTGAAAAGTTTACAGTTCATCCTGGAAAATGAGCAGCAAACTTCAAAAACCAAATGGGAAAAGATGAATGGTATTCTGCATCTGGGTTTCAGTGCAGCCTGTTATTCTTCCCTCCCCTCCTCTTCCCTTCTCCCTTCTCCCTTCTCCTTTCTTTCTTCCTTCTCCCTTCTCCATTATTTTCTTCAGTCTAGGTACCCATGTAGTTCTCCTGTTAACTCTTTACAGCCACAGCCACACATTCTTCTTACAGCATTTGACATCCATCTTTCAACTGAAGGGAAGCATCAAAGTGCTTCCAGCCCTGAGCAGCCAATGCAGAAAAGAGGAAAATAGAAACAATGTGACTAGAAAAACTTTTCATGTGAAAAATAAATGAAAGGGAAGTAGTGTTTTCCTGAGCATGGCTGGCTTTTAGTTTTCAATCAAAATGCTAATCTGTTGGAGCTCGAAATGGCTCTTCAAAAATTATTATGTGAAAGGGAAAAAGAAATGCCATCTGCCCCTTGTTCTCTCTGTGCCAAAGTCACAACAGGGAGGAGTGATTAACTGCTGTATGTTGGTCAGAGGCAGATACTACAGCCATCACTGATTTTTCACTGACATCCCAATTCACTTTTTCCTTGTGGTGCAAGCTGATTTTTGTAGATAAGCAGCTCAAGCTTACTGCTGAAATGAGAACCTGTAGTGCACCTGGGTTACAATATAATAGCATGGTTTTCACAGATAATGTGCAATTAATTAGTAATAACGTTTTCCAATTTATAGTCACCTGCATTGAGGAACTGCAAGCTCCAGGACCTGTTCTGTACAGATAAAAGCACATTGTGATGGAGCTGGGTCAGGTGTCAGGATAAATCCATTACAGACACTCCTTTACAAGCAGTGATAATAGTGACTCAGGGGTTTGCTTTTGCCAGATTTTGGCTCTGCAGCTAGAGATCAGTTCATTCTCAAGCAGAAGCACTCCCTGAGATTTTTTTGGTTTGTTTGTTTGTTTTCTCCCTTTCTTATAAAATTCTAAGAATTGTAGCTAAAAACTCAAAATGCGTAAGAGAACATAAGGGCACTGCAGCCTAAGTTCTTCTCATGGCTTGTTTTAGAAGCATTTGGCCATCCTATTCATCCTATTCAATCTATATTCTGTGAAAATGCCTTGCACTTCGATCAAGAGGGTGAGGGGCATGGAGATGGATCTCTGTAATGTGACTGCATCTGAGCAATTGAGATTGGCCCCACGATGGCAGCACAACACAAGAAATAAGAATGTTACCTCAAATGCAGAGGGGTGAATGGCTTCCTCTTTAGTAAGAATTTTAAGCTGACTCATCTTGCTGTAAATTTGGAGAGAAAAAAAAACAAACTACTGTTAGGCAACCAGGCAAGGTCAGCCTCTTGCAGGAGATGGGTCTCATCTACCTGCTGCCTGATGACGATCCTTGACTAGAGCTTTAGAGTGAGAAGGGTAACTACACAGGAGGTAGTGCTTAGTGTTAAAAACAGGCATTTTTTAGCTGTGAAGGCAAAACACAGTTTGTTATCAGAAGGTCACAGAATCACAGATTCATAGGTTTTGGAAGGAATCCCTGCAGATCATCTAGTCCAACCCCTCTGCAAAGCATGTTCCTTTGAGTAGGTTACATAGGAAAGCGTCCAGTCAGGTTTTGAATATCTCCAGAGGAGACTTTACATTCTCATATTAGAAGAAAATTTTTCACTCAGTGCTGACACACTGGAACAGTTAGCCCAAGAAGATTGTGGATGCTCCATCTCTGGAAGCATTCAAGGCCAGGCTGGATGAGGCTCTGGGAGCCTGGTCTGGTGGTTGGTGACCCTGCACATAGCAGGGTGGTTGAAACTAGAAAATCATTGTGGTCCTTTTCAACCCAGGCCATTCTGTGATTCTGTGATTCTGTGCTCATACAGAACTTTCTATATTCCAGTTTTTTGCCACTGCCCCTTTTTCTTTTGTTGAGCACTACTGGAAAGAGCCTGACCCCATCCACTTGACTCCCACCCATTAGATAGTTATAAGCAGTGATAAGATCCCCTCAGTCTTTTTCCAGGCTGAACGCTCCCTGGCCTCTCAGCCTTTCCTCATAAAGGAGGTGCTCCGGGCTCCTCATCATCTTTGCAGACTGTCAATGGATTCTTTCTAGGAGATCCCTGTCTTTCTTGAACTGAGGAGCCCAGAACTGGACACAGTATTCCAGATGTGGCATCACCAGGGCAGAGTACAGAGGGAGAATAACCTCCTTCGTCCTGCTGCTGGCCAAACTCCTTTTAATGACTCCCAGGATAGCATCGGTTTTCTTGGACACAAGTGCACACTGCTGGCTCACTGTCAACCTGCTGGCTACCAGGACAACTATGTCCTTCTCTGCAGAGCTCTTTCCCAGCACATCAGCCCCTAACCTGTACTGATGCAAGCAGTTATTCCTCTCCAGGTGTAGGACACTTGCCCTTGCTGAACTTCATTGGGTTCCTCTTCATCCAACTCTCCAGCCTGTCCAGATCTTGTGGAATTGCAGCATAGACTTTTGGTGTGTCAGCCATTCCTCCTAGCTTTGTATCATCCATCAGGAAACCTGCTGAGGGTACATCTATCCCTCCATCTAAGTCACTGATGAAGATGTTGAACAAAACTGGGCCTAGTACCAACCCCTGGGAAATACCACTAGCTACAGGCCTCCAACTTAGACGCTGTGCTGCTGATCACAGCTCTCTGAGCTCTGTTAGCATAATAACATCCACTGCTCTCCTCTATTCTACCCAGCTGGTCATGACAGTCATATGAAGGCACTGCACATGAATAAAGGTAAAATTATACAGCTATAAAATGACTGTATTTAACATGCAAACTTTCCAGCGTAACAAAAAGCAGCATGAGTAATCCCATCCTGTCAAACTTTGTGGTGGTGATGGTGGAAGTTGTATGTTCTGATAATTCCCTGATTACATGTCATTGCGTCTTGACTAATTTCCTTATCTGAGGCTGCATCTTCTCATGTTCACCTGACACAACCAGAGGAGATCATGCAACTGATATAACAAGGTGTCCAACATTTGCAGTGCTGAACAACACCATTAACGTTCATGAAATGCTCTTCTTTTCATTGGAAAAGCAGAAAAAAAACACATTATTTTTCTTTTCCTCATCAACTTTTATCAAATACAGTGATTAGCCATCCTGTTTGTTGCAGAGTTAAATATCGGTGGTTTCAATAGGTGTCAGTGGGAGAACAGGCTCTGCTTTGATGCTGCAAGGTCAGTATGTCCATCCCTCTTATCTCAGCCGAGCAGCTGGGCCACAAATCAGGAGTGAAGCCAGGTGAGGGGACCTATGACAGAGCTGTGAGGGAGGACAGAGAGCTGGCAGTGCTCAGGCCCTGGCAACAGGGAGCTATGGTAGACATCAGGTCCCTGGTGCGGCGTCACTGGGTAGGAAGGGGCAGTGCCAGCACCCATGGAGAACATCCCTCCCCACAGTGCAGGCAGCACCCTGGTTTGGCATGGAGCACCTGGGAGGTAAGTGTGGGGCTTGGGATGGCAGCAAGTAATTTGGATGGGAAGCTGGGGGCTTCTCACTGCTTTTGCTCTCTGAGACAGTTATGTGCTCATACTGTGGCTCACTCTGCCTTGTGCAGTGTGTTTTTCCTTTGTTTGGGAAAGGCGTGTAAGGGGGGCTGGACTGCTGAGATCTGTCTGCACTCCAGGGATAGGCATAAGCAGTGGCTGTTGGTTCACACACTGTCCTCGTGGATTCCTTTGGGGCACATTTCCACTGAAACTTTGAATAGTTCTTCCCTAACGCTGTTAGGCCAGCACCTTGAGCCCAGCTTATAATTATTTTTCTTCAAGAGGACGTCTGGAAAATGAGGTGATATTAACTTGGGACTCAACCAGGGTTTCCTGCCAGTTTAAATGGATGCTGGAAGCGGCTCTGAATCAAAGGTTGCTTTGACTTTCTGTGGTTGCGTGAGGCCTTCTGCATTTCTTCTTGGGGAACAGGCTCAGGAGGCTCTATAGCTCATATGAGTATTTGCTGTAGCCAGTCCCTGGCTCCTTTCTCTCCTCACGTTTCCTGTTTTGCAGCTGCTGGCTATGCTGGCAGCCTGCCTGCTGCTGCTCTGCATCCCGCTGTGCTACCAGGCCTTTCATTTCCACGTGGCACAGGCCTACGCACGCCTTGGGTACCCCCACGCCCAGCACATTGTGGGGCAGAGGTATCTGCAAGGTAACCTTTGCTGTTGGAGGATATCCATGCATGTGAATCTCAAATGTGGCTCTGCATGCTGGGTTTGGCCACTGTGTTTTACGTCATCACTGTGACTTCATTGCTTTGCCTTTATCTCAGGTGCTGGAGTGGAAAAAAATGAGAAGCTGGCCATGCACTGGTTCAGGTGAGCCACTGAAATATAACTCCTGAGATGGCACGTTGCTTTCTGCTGGAAAAGATTGCTAAGGCACAGGGACAAAACTGGCAATACTTTCTGAGGGCACTGGGTCATCCCCTGGGAAGTGCAGGCAGCATGGAGATGGCCAGCTCTCTGTACATCTGGCTTGGGATCACACCTTCTCCCACTTCTCTTGCTACTTTTTAACCAGTGGGAGAAAAATATCTCAACAGTGAGACAGCATGCTGTATGGGGCAGTACAGCCTTGTTCAGGAAATGTTCAGATGTTGCTTTTCTTCTATATTTTCTGCTCCTTGCCTCCTCTCCTCTCTCAGGCAGGCAGCAGGACAGGGCCACCCACACTCCTCCTTCAACCTGGCACTGGGAGCTCTCAGCAACATGACGGCGGCACTGGAGGAAAGGTAATGCAGCTGCTCCTACCCCTTGCTGCTCCAGATGAGGATCTGGTTCCTCCTGGGGGAAAGTCCTGTGCTGTAGGCATCCCATGGATGTGGCTGCATAGGCAGTTTTGAGGCTTCACTGTTATGTTGTCAGCTCTGCTTGCAGAAAGCAGACTGCATGCCCTTGTGTTGGCCACCAGTGTCCTGTTAGCTTCAAAGAGATTTGGACATTCTCTCCAGCATTCCTGTGCCCTGCAGTGTGCCCAAATGGAGGGAAAGCCAGAGCCTGCTGTCTGCACAATCATTGAGATGGCTAATCCAGGGGCCACTCCTAGTTGAAGCAAAAGTGACCAATGAGTTTCCATCACAGTGCTACTCAGCCTTAAAATTGTTTTGCTTTGAGTTTTTTTTACTCCAAGCTCCAAAATACAAAAGCAAAAGCGAGCTGAAGCCATCATGTTTCATTTTGATCCCGTGTTGCACATTGATCAGATAGACTCACGTATTTGATTGTATAATAAGTATATATTTCAAGAGTTTCAGATCATACGGCTTCGGTTCAGTCAGGTCAGGAAAATCACCAATAATCAGACATACATGCTCAGATAACAGTGAAAAGCAAAATAAAAACCAGATAATTCTCTGAATATTAGACCGCTGAACATCATAGAATCTTTCAGATCCAGTAGTAGTTGTCCTTTATTAGAAGCCTGGGTAAGTCAGATAGGAACAACCCAAAACTCCTAGTTTTTCTTGATGAAGATTTCATGTCCTTCAGGGAAGTGGAAAAACTCCTTGGTGTGGCTGCAGCCCATGGGCTCCGAGAAGCTCAGGAACTTCTAGAGAACATTCTCAAGAGCAGAAAGCTGCCCTGAATAACTGCACCAGCCTTGTCTTCTTCTGCACCTTTATTGAAATCCAATTACGAGCTGGAGATCACACCTTATACCAATTAGTCTCCTGATATTAAGTTAGATCCAGATACTGACCTGTGCCAAGGGTTTGATGCTGTGGTTGTGCTGTATCTATTTCATGCTCTGCTTATTTTTTGCAACAGATGATTGTGATTAAAGCTTTGTTGTCATTAATCAGCATGACGTGTGTGAGTGATGTCACCTGTAATATGAATAACAGTGGTTTAATAGAAAGTATTATGGTTAAGATAAATAAAATCTTCATGTAACAGCTGCCATTCCTTAAAAACTTCACCATTACCATGCCAGTTTTTGGGAAATATAATTAATATAATATAATTAATGGAAACTGCCTTAATCCTCGAGGTGGCCTCAGTTTAAAATTACCATGGGAAGGCCTGCATTTGACAGAAACTGCATTCACTCTGCAGAGCCATACGTTTTGCTGGCAATGGTGCTGCTGCTAGGGATGCCCAGGTCAGTCTGCAGTCACTGCCTTGCTGGATCCCATGGCCTCATACAACCAGCTGGTGACTTGTCATCCAGTTCCTTCCAGTGTTTTGGTAAGAGCTGGGAAATAAGGGCAAGCTTGATATCAACAGAAGCTGCAGATTGACTAAAGTGGAAGCAAGCTATCACAACTCAGTGTTTCACCAGTTCTTCACCACATCCACAGGCTTCCCATGAAGCACAGAAACAGCATTCACATTATGAACCTTACACCACTTCCCCACAGGCACAAGTTTCTCCCACTCAAATTGCTTTCCAGTTTGATTTTCCCCTGATTTTCTTTCAGCATAACCACCCAAAGCACAGATTTGTTTTGCTGCCAAAGCCAACTAACCACAGGGTCCTGATCTTGTCCTTGTTTGCTGAAACTGGTTCTTTCCCTTTTCATCTCCCAGATGAGTACTAACTCATCTGTAGTTTTTGGCTGTAGGAAATCAGCCATGAGCATTAGCAGGTGCTTTGGGAATGTTCTGCCAGCCCCGGTACAGCTGAGCTAGTGAGGAAAGTCAAGGGGGAGGAGGTAATGCCTCCTGGCTTCAGTGCTCTCTGCACAGTTCAGGTGGAAAAGCCCAGGAAAAAAAAAAGAAGACAGAAAACAAAAGTTTTGAAAAATACTAATAAAGAAAGGAAGGAGAAACAGAAAAGGAGAGGGAATGGAGGAGAGTAGAGAAGGGAACAGGAGAGGAAGAAAGGGAGAATAAGAGGGAAGTGAAAGAATCATAGAATCATTTAAGTTGGAAGAACCCTTAAGATCATTAGGTCTAACTATCACTTAACAATACCAAGTCCTCACCACTACACCATGACCCTTAACGCCATGTGTATGCATCTCTTAAATACCTCCAGGGATGGAAACTCCAACACTTCTCTGGGCAGCCTGTTCCAACGCCTGACCACCCTCTCCATGAAGTTCTACCTGACACAGGAAAAAAAGAAAAGGGAAGGGAAGGGAAGGGAAAGAAAAGGCCAACTACCCTACCTTTGGAGCCACTCCTGCAGGCCCCATGCTGTGCCCCATACCTTGGCTGCTGCAGCCCTCTCCTCCTTGGCACTGTCTATACAGCTGTAATTAGGAGGATTTTCTTTCCCAAAACACAACTCTAATTATAATATAATTCAGCTTATTTGAAGTACATTTTGGTAGTGTTTCCATTATGCAAATATCAATTTATTATCCACACACTATGTTTTGACTACAGTTGTGTTGCTAATTAGAGGCAATTTGGCTGCTTTAAAAAAAATCCTTTCCTCTCCCTGCACATTTACTTGGGAACTGCACAGAACAGACGTTCAGCATGGTGTCGGTGATGAAGACCTGTGGTTAGCAGCTCTGTTTTAATCGCTCTAATTGACTTTCAGTGCGTTAGAAGCCACTTAGAAATTGCAGGTTTTGCTGATTTACTTGGGTTTGGGGCTGGATGTGGGAAGGAGAGAAGGGCAGCTCATTCCTGTTGCAAGCATCACATTCTGCAGGTTTTGACTGGGTTTGGTACCTGTCACCAAATCAAAGATGCTGTGGAGCTGGGGAAGGGTCTAGCAGCCTTCTTGGAAGGAGTGAGGCTCAGAGATCTGGGATTGAGTTGATCTTGGGGCTAGAGGATATCCCTAAAACCTCTTAGAATTATTTCTCCCAATGCCTTTTATAAAGCATTCTGTTGCCAAACCACCCACTTTATGAACCTATTTTTTCCTTTATATGATTGCTCACATGAATGGATAATACCCTGGTGCGGAACAGAGCATGAGGATTTTTGCACCCCAGAGTACTTTGGTACTTTTACCATCAAGTGACCAATGTGACCAAACCCACAGATGCCTGAAGTAGCATCTGCAGCTTCAGCTCTGAAAGCGTGTGCTTCTGCAGCAGGCGAACATTAGGGGTCCCCAGTGACTTTTCAAAGGCTTTGTAAGGAAAAAAAAATACCCTCGAGTTTTCCTGCTTTTCCTTACAACACAAACCCCATACCCACCCACCGGCTAGCAAGCTATGTTGATAAAAGGGGTGAAACAGCTCTGATGTAAAGCTGGACAGAAACCACCTTGTGAGGGCCCGGAGCAGGGCTGTTGCAGCGTGCAAATCCATGGGGTGCTGCCACCTGGCCTTTCCTTCTTGTGGGACTTTTCTCTGGGGCCTCCACCAGGTGCCTTCCTGAGGCTAAAAGCAATGGCTTGGTGCAGGTGTCCAGCAGCACACTTTAGAGGAATGCCCTCTCTGTGTTCTGCACCTGGCAGTACTATATTCTGCTCCCAGATCATCACACGTGATCACTCACATCGCCTCCCTCAGCAGATTAAAAAGGGAAAATCACAATGATATGGTACCTTTAGTATTTAGGAAATGATTAATTAAGGACAGATGTGAAATGAGCATTGCACTTATGCTTTGCTGATGTTCTGCCTAGAACACTTATGGTAGCCACTCCAAGACAGGATTTAGGACTTTTAGTGCAGGGGATAACCATAGCTCACAAGGGACTGCAGCACAGGGGATGCCCTGGCAACAAAATCCAAATTGTCTCACATCATTTCAGTTTCCCTGATGCAATCAAGATATTTCTGAGAGAAGGTGTCCCTTGTCTCCCTCCCCATTACAACAGTTTCACAGCTAATCCTTAGGATTGTTGATGCTTTCCCTATATGCTGATGCGCAGTGCAGAGCCCACCAGCTCTGAGGCATAGCACCTTTACATTGCTATCCACCTGACACTGCAAGTCCATCACTACACCATATGCCTAAATGCTGCATCTACCTGTCCCCTAAAAGCCCCCAGCACAGCGACTTCCCAAGGCAGAAACCTTTCCCACTTGACAAGCATTCAGAGGCCAACTTTCTTTACCCTTTTTATTATTACTATTACAAAAACACAGACATCTGCATAATTACAGATGCCATGTAATGATTCTGCAACTAAATACTATCTCAATTCAGGCACTGCTGGCTGTGTTTGTAGCCTAGTGGTCTCATGATGCCAACAGCTATTTAGGAGTGGATCTGGACCTAGGCACTGATCTTGCTGAAGGAGTCAGGGTGATTCACAGACCCAAGAGAAGGCTCCTACAGGCCACAGAGTGAGAAAAAATCAATCTGCTGGGAGCAGGACCAAGTCAAAAGCCAAATGCAGAGGAGTGGGGAGAATTGCAGCCACACTGGAGACTTCCCAAGTACGATGGCAGTCTCTGCCATTGAGGTTTCCGTACAAATAGATGATCTTTGGCTACAAATCTCCAAGTGCTGCAATGGCTCAATTAGTGTGAAAGTGGTACCCCAAGTTTTTGACTGTTTTTTTCAGTGTGAACTTTCCACACTTCAGTTAATCAGAGCTTAATACATGAAGCAGCATCATGTCCCTTTAGTGGCTTCTAATTACTTTGAAAATTTCCCCAATTATCCAAAACCATAATCAGAAGAATATTCAATGCACATACAACTCATTACCCAAATGCATTTGATCCTGATCCTCTCCCTCCACCAAAATTTAGCTGGAGCACACGGTTTTCATGAGCCGGCAAAGGACATGCAGCATGTGTTAGAGGGGAATTATTTGCAATATGGTAAATGCCTTACAGATACCTCCAAATGGGACTCTGGTGCAAAGGCTAAGGGGCAGATTTTGGGAGAACTGCAGCAGTATTTTACAGGATATCTTTTAAATTCCTTACAGAAAGACATGATTCTTCTTGTAATTTCTCTGCTTTACAGTTGACGTAGAAAAAGGCAGAAGAAACTATGAAAACAGGAACCCCTATAAGGCGCACATGAAAAAACATGGTGGTCAAACAAGGCTGTGCTGCATCCCATAGCCAGAGCGTCCAATGAAGTAATCCCATGAGAAACAGTCATTACTGGTGGCTGGAGAAGCCACCCCCACTCAGTCTTGGAGCCCATGGCTGAGGAGTTATTGAGCAAAACCAGACACATACAGCACACACAGCTTGTCACAGGGAACACTGCAGCTCAGCTGTTCTTGGCTGCTTGCCAACAGCAATAGAGAGTGATTTAATTTATTTTAAGGCAGAGACAAACATGAGATCCAGAATAGCACTCACACATTGCTGCTGACCCACTACCCACTCCAAATGGGACTTAACAGTCCCATTTTCACCACCAACCGTAGAGATGACATTACAAAACACTGCTTTTAAGTTCTGTTAATTAGAAAAAAAACACATTCACATCTTAGCAGCAGACATGAACAACCCTATTTCCCATACTTCTCAGGTTTCTTTTGATCCCTTTGAAAGAGCACTGTGAGATAGAGAAGGTAGTGGGTTGAGACCTTCAGGAAATCCCAGATATCGGGGGAAAGAAGTAGGACCTTCAGTGGGGGAAAAATGATTAATCTGCTGCTTTCTTTCATGCCTTTATTGTATGTGCCTTTTGATAATGAGTGAGCATTAAAATGGAGAACACATTATCCATGTCTCCTCCACAAAGAGGTAGAATTATAGAATTATTAAGGTAGGAAATAACGTCCAAGATATCAAGTCCAACTGTTAACCCATCACCACCGTGTCCACTAAACCATATCCCTGAGTGCCACATCTTCATGTTACTTGAAAACCTGCAGAGACAGTGACTCCACCACCTCTGTGGGCAGCCTTTTCCAATATCTTACCACTCTTTCAGAAAATAAATTGTTCCTAAAACGTAACCTGAACCTCCTCTGCTGCAACTTAAGGCTATTACCTCTTGTCCTTAGTAGTATCCTGCTAAATTCTTTGGAGAAGAGAAACACACAATTGCAACTTCCTCACCCATATTTAAAAGATGATCCTTGCTTACAAAATGATTAGTCAGTACCTCTCAAGGAAGGGAAGAGCATCCAGTGAAAATCTGCAAGGAGACATTTCATTTTTCCATGCCATGCTGAGGTAACTTGAGAGGCTGATTGCCATGGGATCTCCCAAAGCTTTCAAATGAGCCCAGAGTTAAGTTGATACTTAGTGAAAGGTTAGTGCCTAGATGCTACTTAATACCAGACTCAGTGTTCAGAAGACATCAAAAACAGGACAGCAGCATCCCCCTGGGGTATCTGCTGCTCCTTGTAAAACGGCTGTTTAATTGAGCGGCAGCAAGAAGTCAGCTCAGCAGCATTAGAACGTGCTGCTGGTGCTTAACGCTGACCAGATCCCTTTTGCTGTCAATTTTTCTCCAGAATGAATAGCAGGACATCAAGGTATTTGCTGTGGCTGTCTTCTGCCTGGCTTTCCTCCATTTATATCTCACTTTGGCATGGTTGTCTGCCTTAAAAAAAAGCTGTATGGAATCACAGAATGGTTTGGGTTGGAAGGGACCTTTAAGATAATCTAGTTCCAACCCCTATTGGCTGATTTCCCCCTCTCCCATACAACTCGGTATGGGTTTATGCTCATTTGTTTCCCAAAGTGCATGCTGGTGTCTGGGTTATTGCCAGTGGAACCTTTGTGAAAGAATTCCAAATGCAATGTCAGAGGTTTGCCCAAGCTCTGATAGAAATCTGGTTAAGATAAGAAGGTTTTGATCACAAGAACAGAATCCAGCAGATTCCTGGAACCTCAGTCTAGAATAGTACTTAAGTCTGTGCCTAAATTATTTAAATTATTTTACAAAGCAGGATTAACACCTGGCTTAGGATGCTTTGTCTGTTCAGCACTTTCAGCTGTTCCCAGGTTGTGTGCCCACAGTGTGTTTGTGGAATAGCAACAACACAGTTACATAGTTCACTTTTTCAGAGGGAAAAAGTCAAAATAATCAATGACATAGACACACACATTTCCCTTCTTATGTGATGTGAGGAGTAACCAGAAAGAAGCTTCCTGAAACCATTTCCAAGATTTACATCCCTTCCTCTTCTTCATTCAGCTCCATCACTCAAGTCACCTGGCCAAGTCACAGGAACACATTGCAGAGCAACAGGCAAAGGATGCAAGTAGTGGACTTGTAGCTCCAGGAGTGTTTTATATGTGTTCTGTTTGCTGGAGAAGAGCAGATGGATTAGAGGGAGCAGATCCCTCTGTCTCATGAGTGAATCCCTTTTGTTTCTGTGAGAACATTCTCTTTTTGTGACCCCATAGGTGATGATGATCACATCCTACCCTCTCCAGAGGATGAAAAAATGAATTCAGGCTGAGAGAACAGATGGATGGATGGATAGTTACAGTAGCCAGCTCCAGAAGCAGGAGCTGTGATGAGAGGGTGGGTACTTCATGCTGCTTTCTGCCCCAAGCACCAGGCACGCTTGCATGCTTCAAGTTGAAGGAGGCTCTTTGAGCTCAGCAACCCTCCCATTGCTGTAGCCTCTAATCTTGACCAATTATCACACAAGAGCTTCTCAGGGCTTAGTATGAGGGTGGCTGAAGCCATAGCACTAAGCAGGGTTTCTGCTGAAGACAGGGGGTAGTGGAAAAAAGGGAGGACTTTAGGCTCCATCCAGTTGCTCTGTAACTCCTAGAAGGAGTCCAGCAGAAGGCCACAAAGATGATTAAGGACCGGAAGTGTCTCCCTTATGAGGACAGACTGAGTAACCTGGGTCTGTTCATTCTGGGAAAAAGAAGGCTGAGAAGGGATCTGATAAATATTTATAAATATCTAAAGGGAGGTGGGAGGCAAATGGATGAGGCCAGACTCTTCTCGATAATACGTAGTGATAGGATAAGGAGTCTAAAAGAAGCCTAAAATTTGAACAAAATACTAACATGCAGAAGAACTTCTTTATGGAAAGGGTGACGGAGCACTGGAGCAGGTTACCCAGAGAGATTGTGGAGTCTCCTATGGAAACATTCAAGACCCACCTGGATGCCTTCCTACGTGACCTATTGTAGGATACCTGCTTTGGCAGGGGGGTTGGACTTAATGATCTTTTGGGGTCTCTTCCAACCCCTGCAATTCTGTAACACCATAGGAATCTAGTCCAGCTGCCTTGGAGCATCTTCATATAAGGAGATTTGCTGTGGGTCACTGACCACAGTGGCTCAAAGAACGTGTGACCCCCAAATAGTTCACCCTTAGGCAGGAGATGGCACAAGCACTGTCAAGTGAGTTCGCTCAAGAGCAGTGGGAGTTACAGCCACCTGGAATGAGCTTTTGTTTCATAAAAGCAGCCTGACATCTCTCCTGTTTTGAGGCCAGAGAGCTGCAACACCAATCTACTAGCTCCTTGCAGCATGGTTCTTCTCTTCCATTCACCAAGCAGTTGGTGAAAGGAGGACCACAAAGTGTATCTTTCACTCAAAGCAGCATTTCACACCAGGCACTCTGCAATGAATATTGAAAATAGGATATTTATCCTCAGAACAGACAAGCTCATTCCCTTCTTTAAAGATCTGTTTTTAGGGGTAGTACTACACCAGCAAGTGACTGTCATCATGGAACTAGAAAGATGAGATGACATCAGAGGAAGCTGCTGTCTTATGGTAGGGCAGCAGATAACCTCCACAAGCAATACCATGTTTGAATGAATTGTTTGGCATTAAAACCATCACAGATTTAAAACCCAAGGCAGCCTGGGCCCAACTCCAGCAAGCCAAATTCAAGTGCTAGGGAGGTCCTCAAGAACCATGAGTATTACATACACTGGCTGTCTCTCACACTGCTCAGTTAAAAAAATGAAATAAAATTAATCATAGATAAAAAATAAAAGATGATATAGACACAGGAGGCTGAAATACTTGCATTGGCATGTTGACACAGTTGTGACGTCTGATATTGAAGAAGCTTCGTGAAGACCTGAATATCAACATGAAGCAACCCTGTTAGTCTTTGCTCAGAAGAAGGCACCGGCCTCAGCCAGCCAGGGAAAAGATGCTCTCAAAGCAGCATATTTTCTTTTCAGTCTGGTTTCAAAGGAAGTAACAGAAGAACAGTATTTGGTATTCTGTGTTTTTTTTCCCCCTACAAGAGAAACCCAACAGTGAGAGTCATGCTGTTCCCTGGTGGGGCTCAGGGACACCGTGCACTCAGAGCAGACACTCAGCTCAGTGGGGTTTCAGTCAGAGAAGTCAGGGGAGAATGCAACATTTTCCTGCAGCTTGAACCACAGCTAAGCTGAGATTTCCTCCCAGAAGCTCAGCCTGGCCTCATTGAATGGCATCAGGGAATTAATCAAAGCAGGGAATTAATTGCAAAGAGCAGGAGGAGCAGGAAGACATCTTGCTTAGCCCCTGGGTGAGGAAGCATTGGTCTGAGGATGATTTCCCAGCTGGGGGCAGTGACCCCCACCACATCACACACCTCTGAAGTGTGCTGCACTGAGCCACACTTCAGCTGATTAAACTAATTATCACTGCAGACTTAATGAAGTCATTTGCCACTCCAATGCATTATAGCCACTATGAAGTATTTCTCTTATCAGTTTGCACCTGAGAAATTCATGGCATTGATGTGGGTTGGGTCTCTGTATTCTTATAGTTTGCTAAAAGGAAAGCACATCACCCTCTTTAGACAGGGACACTTTCAAGAGCAGATCGGAGAGGGTTAAACCAGCCCAGATAAACCACTTAATTTTGTCTTCCCTGATGGAGGGAAAAAAGAACCAAAACTTTTCAGAAGAAAAGCTGCATTATTGGGAAATCCAAGCAGTTGGTTTATGCTGCAGTAGAAGCAAGCCATTTTAACAAGGGAAAAAAGAAAACTCAGTGTAAAAGCCATGAAGATAAAGCACACAGGAGGCATCACCACCACTGTGCAGCATGGCTTCTTATACCCTACCATCCTTCTTACCCACCTGCATGAGTCCTCCTCACCCCATCCATCCTCACACCCAAAGCTTTCCCTGCTGTTTCTGCTCTGGGAGAGATTCAGGGCATCGGGGATTTAGTGGGCATACAGGTCCTCTGGGCTTCCCATGGCAGAGGTGGAGGAGGAAGGGAGGCCCTGGGTTAATTAATTAAAACTTCCTCTGCACCTCGAGTCATTTGGGGCGATGGAGCAACTCCAAAGGAATACAAATGATTAGTCTCTGGCTCATTAACCTTACTGATTACTTCTAATCTGGCAACCTCCCCAGCACAGGAGCCTCACCAGGAAAAATAAACCCCTCATTTTAGACACTAAAAAGGCTTTCCAGGGTGTGCTGCTAGAATAATTGTGGCCACTGAGCAGTAAATCCATTTCCAACAGAAAGCATTTGGTCGTCTATGAGGATGCATGACTGTACCACAGAAAAATAAGCCAAAAAAATAATGATGTTGAAAACTACAGGTTTTGGGTAGATAAACATTTGCTCTGTCTCCCTCTTGGAAAGTGTGAAAAAAAGATTC